ATACATTACTAGTGTGAATGTAAAATGGTGGAGGTGCTTTGAAAAACAGTTTGATTTTTCCTCAAAATATTAAACATGGTGGTACCAGATGTTCCAGCAACTCCACTCCTAGGTATATGCCCAAGAGAATTGAAAACATGTCCACACAAAAATTTATACACAAATATTCATAAGCAGCAGCATTCATAATAGCCAAAAATTAGAAACAACCCAAGTCTATCAACTGATATGTGGATCAACAAAATGTGCAATAGCCATCCAGTATAATATTATTCAGCCATAAAATAAAATGAAATACTGATACACGCTACAATGTGAACCTTGAAAACTTTATGCTAAGTGAGAGTAGCCAGACACAAAAGGCCACATATTGTATGATTCTGTTTACATGAAATATCAGAATAGGTACATTTATAAAGACAGAAAGTAGGCAGGCATGATGGCTAACACCTGTAATCCCAACAGTTCGGGAGGCTGAGGCAGGAGGATTGCTTGAGGCCAGGAATTCAAGACAGCCTGGGCAGCATAGCAAAACCCTATTTCTACAAAAAAAATTAAAAATTAGGCAGGCATGGTGGCACAAGTCTGTGGTCCTAGCTACTCAGGAGGCTGAGGCAGAGAGATCACTTGAGACAAGCAGTTTGAGGCTTCAGTGAGCTATGATTGTGCCACTGCATTCCAGCCTGGGTGACGGAGCAGGACCCTGTGTCTTTAAAAAAAAAAAAAAAAAAAAAAAGATAGATTAGCAGTTGCCCAGGCCTAGGAGGACTAGTAGGAAGGGAAAATTGGGATTGTTTGCTAAAGGATATTGTGTTTCTTTTTGGGATGATGAAAATGTTCTAAAATTGGTTAGGGTGTTGGTTGCACAACCTTGTAAATACATTAAAAACCACTGAGTTGTATGTAGTAAAGGGGGGAACTTTATGGTATATCAATTATGTCTTCTAAAAAAGGCAACTTAGTATGCTTTTTGGCATGAGTTGGGGTTGAGGAATATGAAAAGATAATGCTGACTGAGTTGGAGGGATTTGGGTGAGTTCGGTTGAAAAGCTTTGACAGAGGTAATATGGCAGTTGGGAAATATCCTAAGAACATATAGTGATTACGAAGAGCATAGAGGGCCCAGTTGTGATTGGATGCCGTACATTTATAGTAATACTCTCTATTTTGTCTTTTTTTTTTTCTCCATCATCTTGAGCCAAAACTTAAGAGTTGATCTACTTCTGGTGTATAGAAAGATACAGTACAAGAGAATTGAGTGCTGGCAAAAGAACATTTGCAATGTAGCCGTCGAAGCTAAGCTGGACAGAGAAGGGAAAATCAAGGGCCATAAGAATAGAGGTTTGCATGTTTAAAGGTCAGTTGTAATAGGAGAATTAAGAGAGCTGAAATGATGGGAGATGGTGGTAAGAGATTTTTGGGTATGAGGTTGATAAACCAAGCAACCTGATGTTTTAAAGGAACCAGCGGTTTTGCATAAAGCCTGTAGCATGGAAAATGAAATGGGCAGAATCTCACCTCTCAATTCTGAGGTGTACGGTTGGAGAGGGAGTGGTGGGGAAGGAATATGCTGCATCTCTATGAAAAGACTTAGGGAAGTGGGGTTAGCATGTGTAAACTAAGAAAAGGGCGCTTGAAAAGAGCCAACCCCAGAAACCGGAAGTACAAATATGCTTCCAGCACTGTCCAACACATTTAGAATAACATAGTCACATTGGTGTGATCATCCCTATTACTGGGAAAGATTACTAGAGCAATCTTAGTTGAGGAACATTTCTTCAGTTCCACCTAATTTCCTTTGTTCTGGCCATATATTGACCATAGCAATGTTCTGATTATGACCTGGCCTGCTAGATGACTACAGAGAGAGAATGTGTTCACTGGTCAGTAAGTATCTGGTGCGCTTAATATAATTCTCATTACAATCTTTATAATCATTAAAATATTTTAAATTGGCACTCTTTTATGTATCAATTTTTTTCAGTGAGTGGTTAGTGTTAGAGGGAATTTTGGGATTTCCAAAGCTCAGGACTAGACCCTGGTTCAAAGTGTAAGTGGCAAAGTAATACCATTTTTGTGAGGCTTCCTGGTAGAAGCTGGATAAGTCCCCTCTACTAAGAAACATCTGCATGATAGACCTGTTTATATAAAGTGCAGTGAAGAGCCAAAGTTGTATATTGCTTTGCCTTTGAACAAATTTCTCTTCTTTCCCCTTCTAGAGCAGCATTCATCACATTTCTTAAGTGCTTTGCGTAAAATTTCAAAGTTCACTGTGACCCCCGTACTGGGACATCATCAGGCACAGATGCTACATGTGAAGGGCTTTTGGCAGTCAGTGGCTTGGTAGCCATGATTCCATTTGAATCACTCCCTCGTGGACCATATGAAACACATTCTCCCAGGATCCCAGACATATTATTGGGAATCATTGTATTTTCCAACTTACTGGACTAGTTTAGAGGCTTTTGGGTTTCACTGCACTTTTCTTCATTTCCTTCTTTTGTTGATCTTGGCCCCTTAACCTTCCACCCACTTTATTACTCATCTCTTAGGGACCTGACTACTCAGTAACACTGAGAAAAATGTATCTGAAACCATATGGGTTTGAGTACAGCAAACTTAAGAGAGGGGAAATAAAAAAGGAAAAAGTGTGTGTTCTCTGAACTTCCTTTGTTTATATGATCTGTTTATATGTTGTTAAGGTTAGGTTATCCAGCTGCCTCCCCACATTTCAGAAATGACTAAAGATACCTGGAAAACACTCTAACAGGGTCATGTTGGCATAGTGAATGAAAAGACACTTCATTTGTCCCCGCACCAGATAATATATCTTCTTTTGAGGCATAGGAGCAATGCCAAGAGCTTTAAATGCTGAATCTCAAGGTTCTTGAAAGGCCATTGACTTCTAGGCATTCTTTTAGAAAGAAACCAGTCAATGCCAGGCGCGGGGGCTCACACCTGTAATCCTAACACTGTGGGAGGCCAAAGCGGGCATATCACTTGAGGCTAGGAGTTCAAGACCAACCTGGCCAATATGGTGAAACCCCATCTGTACTGAAAATACAAAAATTAGCTGGGCATGGTGGCACGTACCTGTAATCCCAGCAACTTGGGAGGCTGAAGCACAAGAATCACCTGAACCTGGGAGGCGTGGGCAACAGAGCGAGACTGTGTCAAAAAAAAAAAAAAAAAAACCGCCAGTCAAGTGAGTTCCTTAAGGTATATACCTAGTCATTTGAATGTTTGCTCACTATGGATAGTCTATATGGTATCTAACAGATATTACAGTTTTCTTTTCATAGAATGAACATTGGCATTGGTGTGAGGTGATGTTAGCAGCCGTTAAAGCCCAGGCTTTAATCTGGCATTTGTATAATGTGAATTAAAACTTAAGTACACTTGAGTCAGAGTTATTCAGTAAAACATGTAGAATGGAATTTTGTGGCATTTATTAGAGCTATTCCACTTGTTAACACCTTGTCTTGAAGGAACTGAAAAGAGGTAGCAAGTGTTCCTGCAGTAGAATAAAGTGCTTACTCTGGTTGAGTGAGAAGTTCCTCTCTACCTTGCATGCTCTACCCACTGTAATGGGTAATATTTGTACAAAGATGTGTTTTTCCCATCAAGCTATTTATGGAACTTGGCCTGCTAAATAATAAACTTAGAAGTGAGAATAAGTAAGAATAAGGAATAAAACATCAATGTTATCTTTTGGAAATAAATCACTCCATTGAACATGGAGAATGTGGTCTTCGTGTCATCGGCATTTTCTTCATATTTCCGCTTCAGTGGAATGATCCTGGCTCTACTTTGCTGCTGTGCATTCCTTTTAATTGCTGTTTCACTAGGTCTCCTTAGCAGCAGCACCTGAAATAACTCCTGAGGAAGCTCCTAAGTGAATTCTCATAATTTGCTTCTCAATTCTCCCAGTTGATTGAGGCACTCTTTTTCTTGAGTGCTTTGCAGTTCTACGTAAGTGGCTGATGTTTGGGGTCACTGCTGAATGTTTTGTTTGAATATCCCTTTCATGATGAAGGGAAGGCTGCTGCTTTTAACTACATGGGATGATGCCCTTGGTGGTAAGCCTTGAAAGGCAAAAATCATTTGTCATAGTGATATGCTAAATGAAATTATTCTTTGTCACTTTGTCCTTTTGTCCGTTCAGTCTGATAACCTCAGTTCTTGTGATTTGTTTGTTTTCTTCAATTAAACTTAGTTGTTTCCTGTACCCAGGTGCATGCTATTTCTGCTCTTGGTTATGATGGTATGTGGAGCATATTTCTGACCTGGAAGTGTGGTTTCTTTGACTCAGAGCCACATCAGCATGCCTTCCATCCTCTACTTCCTTTGCATTATTTCCTTTTGGAGGGCTCAGTTTGCCACCATTTAATCTACAGATGATTCATCTGGGACTGAGAACTGGTAATGCTGTAATAACAATACCTTTCTTTATATAATACTCAATGCACTTACTACCTTAGACTTTCTCTGTTTATGAAGCACTTTCATTTTAATCCCTCACAGTAACCCTTTGCGTTAAGTCAGCAATTTTGTCTTAGTCTAAGATGGTGAAATTGTAGCTCAAAGAGCTTAAATAACTTGCTCAGAGTGGCAGTGCTTCTGAGTTACCCTGCTTAACAATTTCTACAGGAAATGAATACTTTTGAAGATACTCTGGATAAATAAAAAGGAATTTTCCAAACCACATCCCAGTTGTTAAAACCTAACTTGTTTTCAGTCTGGTCAGTTGATGAGACCAAGGTTAAAAGGCCCATTCACCATACAGTTTAAATTGATGTGTCCAAGTCAAGAAAATAAATAATTTAGGTCAGTTTTTATTCTGTTGCTTATGTGATAAAGTTCAGGAAGGCTGGCTCTTAAATTAGTGGAACTTGAAATGGAAATAATTAAGCCATTAATTTTTTTATTACTGTTCTCTTTTCCTTTCAGAGAGATGGAAAACTTGATGACTAGCTCCACCCTACCGCCCCTTTTTGCAGATGAAGATGGCTCCAAGGAGAGTAATGATCTGGCTACCACTGGGTAAGCAGCTGCTTTGGGACATTGGACTTCTCCATAGGCCTCAAAACAAAACTTCTAACAAAGGAAGAAGTCCTAAAGAGGCAGTTTTATATCATAAGAATAGAGGGTGCATTTGTTTCACTTTGCAGAGAGAGTGACAGCCATCATAAACCACTTTGTAATCTGCATTCAATTATCTTTTGCAGTGCTCTGGTTTTTGTGAACTGATACAACAATATGTGGAATCTAGCAAACATTGGTGACTCCAGTTAAGAAAATTATATAGTCACCGTTAAGGAAATACCTGCCACAGAGCTAGCTCTAAAAAACAAATGCATTTTCTGTTCAAATTGCCATAGATATTAAAATAGTTTTTTCCCAAAGATCAGATTTTTTAATGTGGTTCTTTATTCAAAATGCTTAGTAACTTCAGCTGAGTTCTGTTCTTTTCCCCATCCCACCTTGTTCTCCGTTCTGTGGGATCTTTTGAGAAATATGTAAAGAGATACAGAAAAGGGTTAATAACAGTAGTCTACCTCTTCCCTTAAAATCTCTGTTCCACTTGAATTTTTGTCCTTTCTAGATATTTAGAGGTTATTTGGCAAAGAGAAAATGTGTTCACTAATAGACTGAAGTGCTAGCTAATCCCTAAGATGAATTATTTTAATATTCTTTGGAGCTCTTTAAAAAATAGGCTATACTTTGTAATTCTGTTTCCTTCCCTCACATTTATTTCTGACCTCGTTGATACCCGCCTTTGACCTCACTACTCAGATGAAAGTATTCTCCAAGACTTTTCTAAAGGCTGCTTAGTTACTATATTCATTCAGTAAAAACTTTCTGAGTATCTACTATGTGCCATTGTTCTAGGCATTAGATAGAAAGCATTGATCAAAACAGATAAAAATCATAGGCCCTTTAAAGTTCGAATTCAACTTGTTGAATCAGACAATAAACAGAATAAATAAGTAAAACACATATTATGTTGATAAGAACTATAGTTTTGGTTTTTTTTTTGAGACGGAGTCTCGCTCTGTCGCCCAAGCCCCACCTCCTGGGTTTACGCCATTCTCCTGCCTCAGCCTCCCGAGTAGCTGGGACTACAGGTGCCCGCCACCTCGCCCGGCTAGTTTTTTGTATTTTTTAGTAGAGACGGGGTCTCACGTGTTAGCCAGGATGGTCTCGATCTCCTGACCTTGTGATCCGCCCATCTCGGCCTCCCAAAGTAGAACTATAATTTTAAAAAAGAAAAAAGTGGAGAAAAGGGATAGGAAGGGTTTGGGGATGCAGTTTTAGACAGGATGGCCCAGAAAGTGTTTAATGAGAAAGTGACTTGAATAAAGACCTGAAGGAAATAAGACAACTAGCATGCAGTTTTCTGGGGAAGATTATCCTAGGCAGAGGGAGCAGTAGGTGCAAAAGCCCTGAGGCAGGAGAGTTTCCATCTTACCGAAATAGCCAGGAGGCCGGTGTGGCTAGAGCACACATAGCAGCAGAAGAGGCAGTAGAGGATTACATCAGTGCTTCTCAAACATGAATTGCCAAGAGAGCTGATGAAAATGCAGATTCTGATTTAGAAAATCTGAAGACCAGAGATTCTACATTTCTAACAAGCTCCCAGAGAATGCCAGTTCTGTTGGTATGAGACCCATACTTTGGGTAAGAAGAGACTAGATCATAGGGATCAAAATGTTTTTTAGAGATCAAAATAAACCCTTTAACTTTTACTCTGAAGTGGGAGAGCATTGGAGGGTTTCAGGCAGAATTATATGATCTGACTTACGGTTTAATAAGATCCCTCTGACTGTTGTATTGAGAATAGAGTGAAGGGAGCAGAGGCTGGAACGAGGAGACCAGTTAGGAGGCTCTTAAAATAATTCAGGAGACAGATGATAGCCTGAAGAACCATCATCGGGTGACTTTCACAAGAGTGTTTTTGGTGGAATAGTAGGGGCAAAAACCTCATTGGAGTGTGTTTCAAAAATAATGGGAATGAGGGGTAGTGAGAAGTATAGAATTCTAGATATATTTTGAAGGTATACCAAACAGAATTTGCCTGAAAGAAAGGATGAGGAATGTAAGAAAGGAGAAAAAAAGTAGTCAAAGACAACTCAAAAGTTTTGGCCAAAGCAACTGGAGGGATGGAGTTGCCGTTAGCTTAGTTGGGGAAAACAGGACAAGTGTGGGAGGGAGTTATAGGAGCTCAGTTTTGGAAATTTTATGTTAGAGATGCTTATTAGATATCTAAGTGGAGATGTCACATATGCACTTTGATATCAGGTTCTGCTATTAGGGGGATGTTTAGGCGAGACAGAAAGTTGGGATTTATCAGCATATAACATTCAAAGCCACGAGACTGAGTGAGATCACCAAAGAAATGAGCACTCTATGGATGGAAGAAAGAAGAGATCTAAAGCCTGAGCTCTGGGATACTCCAGCATTTAAAAGTCAGACAGAGGCCGGGCACAGTGGCTCGTACCTGTAATCCCAGCACTTTGGTAGGCTGAGGTGGGTGGATCACTTGAGGTCAGGAGTTCGAAACCAGCCTGGCCAACATGGTGAAACCCCCGTCTCTAATTAAAAATACAAAAATCAGCCAGGTGTGGTGGCACGTGCCACCACACCCAACTACTTGGGAGGTTGAGGTGGGAGAATTGCTTGAATCCAGGTGGCAGAAGTTGCAGTGAGCTGTGATTGTGCCACTGCACTCCAGCCTGGGTGACAGAGCAAGCTCTGTCTCAAAAAAAGAAGAAAAAAGAAAGAAAGAAAGAATAGGAAGAGTCAATACAGTCTAAAACAAGTTGCTAGAAAGGTAGCAGAAAAGCCAGAATAGTGAAGGGTCCTGGAACCCAAGTGAAAAAAAAAAGTATTTCAAGGAAGGGGAAAAGATCAACGTGTCAGATGCTTCTGGTACATCAGGTAAGATGGGGGCTGAGAAATGACACTGGATTTAGCATGGGTGTCATTGGTGGCTTTGACAAGAGTTGTAAACACAAATCTCCTTTGAAGTGGGCTTAAGGGAGGAGAAGTCAGTAAGTATAAACAAGTTATTTCCAGGGGTTGTGCTATAAAGGAAAGGAGAAAAATTGGGACCTTAACTGGAAGTGGGATTGAGTTTTTTTCTTTTCATTTTGTTTTGTGTTAAGAGAATTAATGTCATACATATATGCCGATTAGACTGATCCTGTAGAGAGAAAAGAATTTGTATTGCCAGAAAGGACAGAATTGCTGAAAATCTGCCCCTGGGTAGACAAGAGTATGTGAGATCAAGGGTGCAAATAGAAGGGTTGTTGGCTTTAGCTAGGAACATGGATAGTTTATTCATGGTAACAAAAGATCCCCTTTTTTTTTTCCAGTCTTCGTCCAACTTGTCAACAAGAAGGCATGTGATGCCTTGGCCATTCCTGTTCACTTAAGTCAGGGATTCATGGGATTCTGTTTTCCCGTGTGAATTCCCAAGTGATTCCTGTCCACTTAAGTCAGGGATTCATAGGATTGCTACTCTTTCCCAAACCTAGTTCTTATATTTTACCGAAATAAGAATGTACAAGAATTAGTAACTTAAAAATTGATGGCACAGTTGAAATGAAAATGACAGTGAAAGAACAAGTTGTCTAACACATCCAAAATGATTGAAATATTTGGAAAACAGCCCTGCAGAGATCAAACTGGATCTCGATGGTACCTCTTTTCAGCGAAAATGATTGGCATTGATTTCATAGCTTCTTTTACTTAACCTTTTTTAAAGGACCTCAAAAATGTAGGAATCTCCTGCTAAAATCATCTATTATGTTTCCTAGAAAGGGTCAGAAAAGTATAATTGCTTTCAGTACCAAGACAGTCTGCTTCCTGTTTTCATCCATTTCTCGGTCCACTGTAATCTGGGATTTATTCTCATAATTCCACTAAAACTATACTTAACTAAAATTGGCAATGACCTTCAGGTCTTCAAATTTAGCAGATACTTTTTGGCCTATCTTATTTAACATCTGCAACTTTTTACTTGATTAGCCACTACCCTTCTCAAAAGTCTTCCTACCTTGGCCTCTGCAGTCGTCTTCTCTCCAGTTATCTTAATGCCCTTCTCAATCTCCTTCCTAGTTTTTTTACCTTGCTCATACAATGATATTGCTTCAGCGGAGTTCTATCCTGACTTTTCCTTCTTCTCACTGTCTTTCTGGAGAATATCTAGCACTGCCCATTATTTCCATGGGCTAACGCCTCTCAAGTCTATCTTTATGCCCTTTTGTTCCACTTCTGTTTTCCTGGGGCATGTTTCCAGTTGTCTGTAGTACATTTCTACTTAATTATATTACAAGTGTTTCACATTTATCATTTTCTTGTCTGTCTGTCTGTCCACACACACATACATACCCCTGTTCTTACCTTGGTTAATATTAAGTACATAACCATCAATTGGAAGCCTCAGAATTACCTTTGACTCTTCTTTTCTTTCACTATTAAAGTCAATCAGTTATTAAGTTCTCTCCATTCTACCTTTTTTTTTTTTTTTTTTGAGACAGAGTCTTATTCTGTCATCCAGGCTGGAGTGCAGTGGCGTGATCTCGGTTCACTGCAACCTCCATCTCCCAGGTTTAAGTGATTCTCCTGCCTCAGCCTCCCCAGTAGCTAGAATTACAGGCACTGCCATCATGCCCAGCTAATTTTTTTATTTTTAGTAGAGACAGGGTTTCACCATGTTGGCCAGTCTGGTTTTGAATTCCTGACCTCAAGTGATCCACCTGCCTCAGCCTCCCAAAGTGCTGGGATTACAGGCGTGAGGCACCACACCTAGCCATTCTGCCTCTTAAGTATCTCTTAGCTTTCCTTCTGCTCGGAATCCTGCCTGCCTTTGTCTCTCACTTAATCTATTACAGTAACCTCTTGATAGTCTCCCTTTCTCCTTTTATACCCAGTTCTTTCTATCTGGAATGGTGTTGTTTACCTTGATGAATACATACTCATCTTTTAGGACCTCCTCTATAAATTCTTTCTTCACATCCCTCCATACATACAAAATTCATCATACGCTCTACCATACCTCTATGGTACTTTTAACAAGCCTTTATTTTAGTACTTATGTTGCATTGTAATGATTCTCTGTAACACTATGGGTTGTGCATTCTTTCAGAATAATGACTGAATATTACTCTATTATCCATCTTTCTACCACTCTTGCTTTCGCAACTCCTCCCTCGGTCAAAAATGAAAACAAAAATACTCACTAGCACATGGCGTTACCTTTCCTTCTATTCCTTTGTCCACATGTAATAAGATAAGTCCACCTAAGACCCTACCATCATCTGTAGCTTCTTGTGTTCGCTCTTCAGAAGGGTGAAATCTGGTTTGCTAACTCATCTGGAACAGTATAGTGGGAGCAGGAAATAAGTACATCTGTCTGATTTATTAACATGTATACCTGAACTTACTGAACTTGATATTGTTCTTAGATGATCTAATTGTCAGTAAACGCTATAATCCAAGAAGAAATAGCCAATGAAATGTACCATTAAGAGATTTTTTCTTACACCCTTTAAGAACTCTTCTGTGATAGTTGGCAAACTGCCTCTACAACTCCCATTGCTATTCACTTTTTTCGTTAATAGTGTTTTCCCTTTACATTGGAGATACATGAAAGGTAGCATGTAAAAGTCAGATTCTACTGCATATTCAGAACTAAAACATGAAGTCTGTGTTTAGAGGCGATCATCTTTTTGAAGAAGATTATAGTTGGTTTTGGTAGGAGATGTCTTCATGGAACTGACCTGGCTTAATCAAGCACTGAAACCAGTTTTTTAAAACACCCTGTAACTTCTGTGAAGACATTGTTTACATTTATACAGATTACTGGGGGAATTAATTCAAGGACTGGCATGTGCTTTTGCTGGCAGGGAAATTTATCTAGAACCTTAGTAAACAGGTGGAGTTTTTGTGTTGTTGATACTTCTGCCTATTATTCAGGTTAAATCACCCAGAGGTTCCATACAGTAGTGGCGCCACATCATCCACCAACAATCCGGAATTTGTGGAGGATCTCTCCCAAGGTCAGTTGCTTCAGAGTGAGTCTTCAAATGCAGCAGAAGGCAATGAACAGAGGCATGAAGATGAGGTAAGCTGAAGTATCTCCTTCTGTTCCTATCCTCTGAAACTTCTGAAGAAGCAGTCACAAGGAAGGTGTGTTGATCAAGGTGTTGATCATCTAACCTTCTTATATTCTTAGGCTGATACCTGCAAAATTTTCTGTTTTCTATTTCTTGTTTTATACGGAACCATATTAATGATTTTAATGGCATAAACAGGTAGACTCTTCTTTCCCTGTTCCCTAAGAAATACCTACCTCATATTAGATGTTCAACAAATACTTGTTGAATGAGTGAATGATTTAATCATTAATAAGTAAGTAATAAGAAGTGTACATGCCCTTACTCAAGGCCACACTCTGCTCACCAAGCTCTGCTGCCTGGAGCCCTATGTGCCCAAAGGATTCATACTACTTACCAAATCCTTCACCCTCCCATAGGGAGTACCTTTCCCTAACTCACACAAAGGCATATGAGCCTGGGCAGTCATGCCCTTGTTGGACTTTCAGTGTTTCTTACAAATAACTGATTACATTGTCAGTGTTTTAAGGCACTCTTTTTTTTTTTTAGCCAATAAAGAGTGCCACCATTGATTTTTGTCTTTTTTCTTATTTTAAAAAAGCTGGCCGGGCCTGGTGGCTCATGCCTGTAATCCTAGCACTTTGGGAGGCCAAGGCGTGCGGATTACCTGAGGTCAGGAGTTCAAAACCAGCCTGGCCAACATGGTGAAACCCCGTCTCTACTAAAAAATACAAAAAATTAGCCAGGTACAGTGGTAGGTGCCTGTAATTCCAGCTACTTGGGAGGCTGAGGCAGGAGAATCTCTTGAACCTGGAGGTAGAGGTTGCAGTGAGCCAAGATACTGCACTCCAGCCTGGGCTACAGAGTGAGACTTTGTCTCAAACAAAAAAAAATTAATTTTTTATCTCTCCTATTGGCATTTTAAAAGATTATAATGAATGCTTAAAGCTTCTTAAATACCTTAAACCCAAATTGTTTTTTTTGAGATGGAGCCTTATTCTGTTGCCCAGGCTGGAGTGCAGTGGCACAATTTCAGCTCGCTGCAAACTCTGCCTTCCCAGGTTCAAGCTATTCTCCTGCCTCAGCTTCTCAAGTGTCTGGGATTACAGGCGCATGCCATCATGCCCGGGCAATTTTGTATTTTTAGTGGAGATGGAGTTTCCCCATGTTGACCAGGTTGGTCTCGAAATTCTGACCTCAAGTGATCCGCCTGCCTTGGCCCTCCAAAGTGCTGGGTTTACAGGTGTGAACCACCGTGCCAGCCCATAGTAACTTTAATGTAACTAGGTAAAAAAAAAAAAAAAAAAACTAATACCAAATACATAATTTGCCCAATGGTGAATTATCATACCATTTTATTTTATATACATTTGGAGGAGTAGAGTACTACAGTTAGTATTTAGATATTTTTGTCCTTGTTTATTTATCTTTTTCCTGTCTGAAATAAGAATTATTGTTTCCATGAAACATTAACTGATAGGGCTGTGTGTATTTGTAAAATTATGAAGTAAAAATATGATGTACCTTACATCTTATTTAAAGGGCCAAGAAAAAGGGCTCTGGTGAAACATCAGTGGTACCTCAGTCCTTTTCGTTTCTTTAGTTTTTTTCAGAGGTGATTCAATCTTTTGATTTAACTGGTAACTCAACATATAAAGACCTCTGACTACGAAATGTACATTTAGGCTGGGTGCAGAGGCTCATGCCTATAATCCCAGCACTTTGGGAGGCTGAGGTGGTTGGATCACCTGAGGTCAGCAGTTCAAGACTAGCCTGATCAACATGGCAAAACCCCATCTCTGTTGAAAATACAAAAATTAGCTGAGTGTGGTGGTGCATGCCTGTAATCCCAGCTACTTGGGAGACTAAGGCAGGAGAAACGCTTGAACCTGGGAGGCAGAGGTTGCAGTGAGCCGAGATAGCACCATTGCACTCTATCCTGGGCAAGAAGAGCAAAACTCTACCTCAAAAAAAAAAAAATTAAAATTAAATATACATCTAAAGGAACAAATTGTCAAGCCAAAGACCTCATCTTCATTTCAGATATACTTACTGAAATTTTTCTGAGACTTAGATATTAATGTAATATTCCATTTGCTATCTGCTATGGGAAATAAGCTAGTCTTTGAAAGTTACCAATGAGCAGCTCCCTTTGTGAGTTATTTTTAATCTCTGCTACAACTTGTTTCTTCCTTTGCCTGGTGCGTGTGACACCATCTCACTCTGATCTGACAACGTCTGCAGCTCTACCACAATGCTGCATGTGCTGCTGTATTTCCCATTTGGACACTCTCCTGTCAGGAATCAGGACCTGACGGTTGTCTGTGGGACAGTCATATGCATATGAAGGTCAAAGCTGAGTGATCATGGCACCTTTTATTCTCACACATTGTGATTAGCACAAAAATAGCCCTTTAATGCAAGATTTTGTAGTGTGGTATGTAAAAGAGTTTGCAAGTGAAGCATTTGGAGTTCCTCGAAAATTGCATTGCTGTCATTTATAATATCTACAACAGATATGGAGAGCTTTGAATATCCAGGGCCAAATTGAAACTCTTAATCCTGTTTTGTTGGTTGTTGTTTATTTTTGTTGTTGTTGGGTTATTTTGGGAGATGGTTGTTGTTTGGTTTTTGGTTTTTTATTTTGTTTTGTTTTGTAGCAACGAAGTAAACGAGGAGGTTGGTCCAAAGGAAGAAAGAGGAAGAAACCTCTTCGAGACAGCAATGCACCCAAATCCCCTCTTACAGGATATGTTCGGTTCATGAATGAGCGTCGAGAACAGCTTCGAGCAAAGAGACCAGAAGTCCCATTTCCAGAAATCACAAGGATGTTAGGCAATGAATGGAGTAAACTGCCTCCTGAGGAAAAACAGGTAATTGTTCTTATTCCTGACTCTTTGTTTGGTTTTGATTATATCTCAGAAATAACTTCCAAAAGAAAAGCAAAGAGGATGGACAGTTGATTCTGCAATTTTGTCACAGTGCCTAGGCGACCAGAAAAGCAGGGTCCATCATAGCAGTTTTCTCTAACTTAGTGATTTTTAAACTATTTGTTCGAGAGGTGTGAGCAGGGAAGGAGTCTAGGACTCCCCTCAACCAAAGCAGTACCACTTTTTATGCGCTGAGGTCACATAAGATTTTTGTAAGTGGTTCAGTATTAAGAAATCTACCAATAAAATATATTCCACTGAGCTAAATGAAAAGTTGTGAGTTAAATGAGAAAAAGTCACTTGACACAATTCTGCAGTTCACATAAGATTTTTAAGAAAAAAATGTTATTGCTTTAATACATTTTTTAAACTAGAGTTCTGGCAAATTAACCTGCTATTGAAAATAAAGCAAGAACAACTTGAATTCTTTCTCCTCTAAGACAGAAACTAACCTGATTGGCAAACTGAAATGAATCCATTTGTTAGAGATTCGAGAGGAATTAAGGACAAGATAGCCATGAGCTGGTTGAAAAACCACTAAATGGTCATGATTGTGGGAGTTGCTTTGGATTAAAAGTTCCCAGCATTCCCAGCATCTGAAAGATATCTATATTTCTTTTATGTCTTAAAATCTTTTATGACTTACACTTTTTAGAAAGGATTCCAGACACACTAAAACCAAATTGAAAAATACTCCCCTGGGAATTAATTGACTTCAGAAATTTTCAAAGAGATCAGATTCAGTTGCAACTTTTGAAGCTCTGTGTTAGTAGTAGCAAACTAGCAGAAGGCAGTGAATATTATCCATTGTTTTGGCACTATGTAGAAAAGGATAGTGGGCTGTACACACTATGTTGTTCTTTTCTTTTTAATTTTTCTTTATTTTAAAATTAATGTGTGCTCATTATTTAGATCCTTTTCAGAGAATACAGAAGTGTATAAACAAAAATGTAAAAATAACAGTGGTTGTTTCTTGGGATAACCACTATTACGTAGGACAAAGGTTTTGTGTTTGTTTTTGTTTTATTAACTTTTTTGTGGAAATAATTTCAAATGTACAAAAAGTTACAAACATAAAAATAGTACAAAGAACATCCAAACACTCTTTGCCCAGATTCACCTATTGTTAACACATTTTATTCCATTTCTCCATTTCGATATGCACTTATAATATGCTCAGTCTTTCTCTCTCTGTCTCACTCTCACACACACACACTTGCATGTGTACACCCAGACACACAAAATTTTGTTTTAGTCATGTGAGGATAAATTATATACCCCCAGAATATTTCAGTGTTTATTTCAAAGAATATTTTCTTATATAACCATAGTATAGTCATCAATTTCATAATTTTTCATTAACAATACTTTAATCTGTCATCCATATGTTGACCTAACCTCATTTCTTTATAACATTTTTCCATTCCAGAACAGGTTCCAGTCTAGGGTCAGGTTTTGTGTTTAGTAGTCAAGTTTCTTTAGCTTAAACTGGGATATTTGCATAGTCTTTCTTTTTCTTTTATAACATTGATATTTTTTTAAAATACAGTTCCCTTCTGCTTCCCCCGCTTCTTTTACCTTTAACAGAACATTGCTTATTGTGTATTTTTCAGATGTTTCCTCATGATTAGATTGAGGTTACGCATTCTTGGTGGAATGACTTGCATAGGCGGTATATCACATATGCAGGCACACATATGTGTGTTTCTTTTGTTTCTCACTGGTAATATTAATTTTGCTTACCTGGTACATGATTTAAATTCTCCTTTGTCATTAGTAATCTATGGGGAGACAATTTAAGAACATGCAAATAGTGTGTTCTACATCAACATTTTCCCCTAGATTTAGCATCCATTGATTATTTTTGCCTGATTTAATCTTTATCATTATGGTTACAACGTGATGATTTTTCCAACTCCAGCACTCCCTTCACATTTACCAGTTAGCCTTCAGCATTCTAATCTAAGCAAGATCTCGGCTTACTGCAACCTTGACCTCCTGGGCTCAAGCACCCCTCCCACCTCAGCCTCCTGAGTAGCACATACCACCAAACCTGGCTAATTATTTTATGTTTTGTAGAGACGGGATCTCACTTTGTTGCCCAGCCTGGACTCAAACATCTGGGCTCAAGCAATCCTCTTGCCTCAGCCTCCCAACATCCTTTGATTACAGATATGAGCCACCATGCCCGATCCCCTACCCCCATTTATTTATTTGTTTGTTTGTTTGTTTGTTTGTTTTTTGAGATGGAGTCTTGCTCTGTCGCCCAAGCTGGAGTGCAGTGGTGCAATCTCAGCTCATTGCACCCTCCGCCTCCCAGATTCAAGTGATTCTCTAGCCTCAGCTTCCCAAGTAGCTGGGACTACAGGCGTGCACCACCACGCACGCCCAGCTAATTTTTGTATTTTTAGTAGAGATGGGGTTTCAGCATGTTGACCAGGCTGGTCTCGAACTCCTGACCTCAAGTGATCCACCCACCTCGGCCTCCCAAAGTGTTGGGATTATAGGCGTGAGCCACCATGCTCCTACCCCCATATATACCCCCATTTATTGTATTTGTATGGTAACAAATCATTGGTATTATGTCTATTATAAATCATACTAATAATCGTATGAAGTTTCTTCTACTAGTTTATATTGTATTACTATACTTAATTATTTTGGTGCTTAAATTGTACCAGATTTGGCCAGTTGGGTATCCCCTACATCTGGCTCTTATGTGGGACAAGGTGTTTAATATAATTTCTGAGTGTGTTTTCCATTCATTTAGAAGCAGTATTTTTATACTTTCTTATACTTCCTTTTGATGAATGAAAAGGGCAAAGCATTAAACAAAATAATCCTGGTAGAGCAATGAACTTTGTTTAAATAATTAATAGCACAAAGCAATCAAAGCATGTAGATAGAGGTTGTCTCACAGTAGTCCATTTTTAGGTCCATAGGATGAGATCATTATTTTTATGTTCTTTGTGTCTCCTAGCTTCATTGCTCCAATCTTCTGGCTCTTAAAGGGCCAATTGATGTATGACATCATCCCCTCAAAATGGGCTGGAGACAGCAAAACAAAGTAATATTCTATTCCTTCCCCTGGGAAGACTAAGTGTGCCTATGTGGTGTGCAGATCTCATGAGGATGGCTCTAGTGGCCATGTAGAGTTCTATCTATAGAGTTAGAAGAATAACTAATCATCTTCATGAATTTTTTATAAGAATGATCTCAATAGAACTTGTCTTCATTAGGTTAGAAAAGGCAATAATTAGTCTAAAAACTCATAATGACCTATTTCTTTTATAATTGAGAGGTTATATTTTATTCTATTCATACAACTCTTATTTTTCTGATTCTTTTTTAAGGCATATTCCCTATATTCTTTTCTTCCCATGTTCTAATTGTCCCATTTTCTTCAAATAGGTAGTTTAATTTTATTTAAATAAGATCTCATTTTCTTGAAAATAATTCTGTGTTTCTTTCCTAGCGCTACCTTGATGAAGCAGACAGAGATAAGGAGCGCTACATGAAGGAACTGGAACAGTATCAGAAAACTGAGGCCTACAAGGTCTTCAGTAGGAAAACCCAGGACCGTCAGAAAGGCAAATCTCATAGGCAAGGTATCAAAACCAGAACCAAATGTATTTGTAATTTGTTGTGGGTGATGGAGTGTCATAAAACCAACTGTTAAGAGTGGTAACTAGAAAAGACGTGTTTCTGTTTTCTCTCCACTATCCAGTGTTCACTTACAAGCATTATTTTGGAATTTTATTAAAATCACATTGCTCTCATTTAGAAATTTCAACTGGGTTTCCATGTCTGTTATCGATGATTTTGGCTTGTCCTCCAAGACCCCTGTTAGTTGCCTGCCTGCCCTTTTCCTGATTCCCAGTTTAGGCATTTCTCTGCCTATAAGCAAACCTATCTACAAAATTATATCAGTAACAGTAACTTGCCTTTAACACTTCTAAGACTTTCATGTGTCATTTTTGAAGCACCATCCACAACTAGTCTATTTTTCCTTAGCCATCACATCTTCTCTCTACTTGGGCATCTGGCCTGCTAAAATTATAGATGTTGTACAAGTAGTCTTTGGTTTGTGTCTTCTGTCTACTCTTTCACCCTGTTCTCCCTAAAGTTAAAAACTGTGTCTTCTGTTTCTCTTATGCCTAATTATGAATTCTAATTCTGTAGGTATGGGGTTCCCTTACTTTTGTTGGCAGACCAATTAATAAAGCCTTAAGGAAAAATATAATATGTTATGAGAATCTACATATATCAGCAGGTTTTATAGTTTGGCACAGTCATACACTTCGATTTGGTTATTGCTTTCTTTTTAAATGTAATGTTCTCTTATTCTTTTATATTTTTAGATGCAGCCCGGCAGGCCACTCATGATCATGAGGTAATTAGCCATCTGTCTACATACCACATATATGTATTTATAATAATGTTGCTTTTTGAAATGCTACTGGATTTTTTTTTTTTAAGGAATGCAGAGTATTTCCTATATCATAATTCAGATTAAATGAGATACTTTAGCTTGGGGGTTCTTAGCATATGGCAGACACTTATGTTGTGTGTCTGTCATTGAACTACAGCCCCTAACCTCAATCCTTTCCTGTGATCTAAGAATTTTATTGGCTTTAAATGCCAAAGATGGCTGGAATTTGGAATGAAGTATGGAAATCAGGGCTAGCTGAAAGCTATAACTTGACCATAGTTTATCATCACCACATACTTTAATCTGACTCTCAGAAAAGTTGTTATTTAAAGAATCCAGCATTTGCTTAAAATGAACTGTTCAGCTACAATGTCGATAGAGCACAAGCACCAGTATCTCATTTTTTTGTTTGTTTTGTTTTGTTTTGTTTTGTTTTGTTTTTGAGATAGAGTCTCACTCTGTTGCCCAGGCTGGAGTGCAGTGGCACAATCTCGGCTCACTGCAACCTCTGCCTCCCAGGTTCAAGCGATTCTCCTGTGTTAGCCTCCCAAGTAGCTGGGACTACAGGCTCGTGCCACCACACGCGGCTACTTTTTTTGCATTTTTAGTAGAGACAGGGTTTCACCGTATTAGCCAGGATGGTCTCGATCTCCTGACCTCGTGATTCACCTGCCTTGGCCTTCCAAAGTGATGGGATTACAGGCGTGAGCCACCATGCCCTACCCAGTGTCTCAGTTCTTACACCTCCTTTCCTATTCCCTCACTTCACTAGCACGTGTTTGTATACTGGTTTCTTTCCTCCCACTTGGTTCAGCCCCATTGATAGGATTTAGGCCTATGTTTTTGTGTGTATGGGATTTAGGTGTGTGTGTTATTTCAAATTATGTTTCCTCCTTCAAACTTTTGTTTCCTCCAACTTCCTTTAACCTTCATGGCTCTCTATACTTCTCTTATGTGCTTAGCTGATCTGACCTAAGGGTTTTGAGGTAATTCAAGGGCTCACACTCTTTGGTTGTAATTTCTTTGCGGACATGCACAGTCTAGTTTTCATCTTTATATCCAACCCTATACCACCTATCATGATACCCTTACCTTGAGAAGGTATTCCATAAGTGATTATTTTTGTACAAGAATCTATTCAAAGTTGACCTGAAATAACTGGGAATTTGAACAAAAAGAATTTTCTGATGTACTATTTTACATGTATTTGTTTTTTTACCAAATCAAGGAAATGTTGGTTACCTTAAAACATAGAGAAAAGATTCAGATTCACAGGTCAAATAGATGTTATTACCATCTATGAACTATAAAGTGAGAAACATAGTAAATATTTGCATTTTATTCTTCAGATAGATCCCATATAAATGTAATTATATATGACATTCTATGCTCTAATTCGGATGAAATGTTATGTTTTTTTGCTGGAGAAACTTTGTATGTATTCTTTGTATTGTAAATCATAATAATGTTGCAAACTTTTCATATTAGCAGACATTTGTATAATTACTTCTATCTTTCTTTGCCTGTGTGCCCAACTATCAATATCATGAAATTTCCGTACTTCTTTTTTTCTCTATTTTATAGCTTCTCTATCCTTAAGAGTTACCAAAGAGAATTTGGACAGTAATCTGAAACATTAGAGCTCACATTTTCTAGTCAGTCGTCTGAATAGGTGTCAATCATCTGACTCATTTCATCACTATGAATTTTGCTGGCCAAACTATATGCGACATTTTTGTCTTCAGTAAACTTGATAGTTGCAGTCAGAAAACATGTAGATTTGGTCTGTATCGTAGAATCTGCTGCTGATAATTTGAGAAGTGAAGGTGTTTATTCAGATACATTAGTATAATATGAATTTCTGTAATGTCTGTGATTTGTGAAAAGAAGTGAGTCTCTATGTTTCCCTGTTACAGGATTAGACTAGACACATGTTAAACCAAACAAAAAAAAGGAGTGAGCAGATGGAGAGCGAACAGTTGTTTCTTAAAAGGTTATACAGTAGGTTCTGTAAATCCATGTGTTGGTATGCCCACAGCAGGATAAAGCTCCTTTAGTAAGCGTGTTGATCCAATTAATGTCCCTTACTTTAGCCATTTTTATTTTTCACTGAACAATATGTTTCCTAAATTAGATAATTTTAGAACAATTGCAATATAAAAGAACTGATTTGAAAGTTTTAAAACTGTTTTTAAACACTGTTACCCAGTAATTTTCTTACATATAACTTCTTAGTATAATAGAAGTTCAGAAAAATAGAAAGCACTGTGGGTGAAAAGCAGCCACAGAAGGAGCCCATGGAAAGGAGTAATTGAATCAGGACTTTAAAATGACCTAGGTTTTGTGGAGACCTCAGGGTGGGTAAAATGGCTCGAGCAGAGGTATGAGTAAGTTTTTATTAAAAGAGCAAATATCTTGCATTGTCTAAAGACCATAGATCCTAAATACATACTTATTTCCCTTTACTTATCCTATGAGGAGTAAAACACTGAAACTTAGTGATCCTCTCAAGTGACCACCTCATTTTGTCAGTGAGGAAAGTGACTTGCCTAAGACGGTATATAGAATGGAAAGAATTTACCCAGAATCACTTACTGAATTAAATTGGAGGCAGAATTGTGACGGAAACCCAGGCCTTCTGTGTCATAGTCTAGCATTCTTGACAGCACAGTGCCATGCTACGTAGCATAAACGACACAGTGTTGAAAGTAAAAATGGGCCTGGTTGCCCGAGATGTCAGCAAAATGTGTTGGTAGTTAAGTAAACTATTTGGTTTGTGTATAGTAAAGAAACCTATTGTATTCCAAATGAAACTTGGATCCCTAAGTCATTGTTACCAAGGCAGGTACTGGAGAGAGCATATTAGAGCTGAAGAAATGCTGACCTGAAAGCCATTCTGCATAGCAGTGGGGCACTTCAGGGTGGTACACAATGTTAAGAGCATTTCCCAAAGTAAAAGGCTCTTGAGAGAAGCACATATCACACTCTTTGAAATTCTGGCCCTGGGACTAGATCACAGCAAGATAAGTTCAGTTCAAAAGGGCCTCTTTTCTCTTAACCTCCATTCAATATCCAGAATGGAAAACCAAAGTGAAGAATATTCTTGCTCCTCTCAAATCGAAAGCCAGCCCACTAGACCCAAGAGTTAGCTAGTATTACTCTCAAGAAAGTGTCTGTATCTCATGTGAAAACTAAGATAGAAACAATAATTTTGTTTCTCCTTTAATTTATGAGAAATGACAGAATGACACTCAGCCTGAACAAATTAGACCCTTTCAGTGAAAGGGTAATCAAATCCTTATGATTTTAATCCCTTGAGCTATCCTTGGAGCAGCTTAAGTACACCCAAGCCCCCAGGAGGATCCTCTCCATGCCATGAAATGTGCTCAGTAATGGAAGAGCGCTGATGTTTTTTATTACCACTCTTCCATTAAGTAGAATTTCTCTGTTACCTTTCAGAGACTGAACAGTTTCATTTAATTGCTTTAATGTTTCTTATTTTGTGCTCTAAGAATCTGTACCAAGGGGCAGTGTGTTAATGCACCTATATGTGGTGCTGGCCTCTGCCCTTACATAATTAGCTTGGTTTGGACTGCTCTGGCAAAGGAGAGAAAAGATTACCAGTCTGAGGAGAGTCAAGACCTTGGAGAGGGATCTTTGTACCATGGTAATGGGAGCCAAGCGTCTCCACTTTACCCATCTAACTGGCAGATATTGAGACGTATGGCTAGGTAACTGATCTCATGTAACTGCAGTTAAGTTGGAGACTAAATAAGATAGGATGATAATGTCCTAAGTCTTTATGCTAAGTCATCTGTGGACTTATGTTTGTATCTGTTATGCCTTGTGCGTGTTGGGATTATGTGTCATAAGTTTTGTTTTCCTGCAGCAGCCCAGTAACAGTTAAAGCATATGGGAAGCCAGCAAATTTGAGAGAAAGCCACTGCAAAATATGGCTAAGATTCCTTCTGGAACCAGCCTTTCTTGTTCATACATTAATTTCCATTGAAATCCCCTAGGAACTGGCTGGAGGTAGAACTTTGCATGTTGAAACTTGGGACTTTCAATTGATAATTTTGTTGTTTATTTTCAAGTTGTTCTGGGAAACTTTGCTTTCTTTTGTTAGGAAGAAAAATACAAAGTAGAAATTAAGTGTTCTGAAATTACATAGCTTTTCAGTGTCTTTCTTGCTCAGCTGCCATTGGCAGGTGGTTCACACAGCCCAGCCCCCTTACTAGGCAGCCACCATTATGAAAACAGGAGCTCAGGTGTCAGATTTCCCTCTTAAGCTGTGAACTGCTTAGCTTTTCTACTGGGCACCAAGTCATTTTGGGGTTCAAAGATTTAGAAAACTAGTGGAGGCCGGGCACAGTGGCTCAAGCCTGTAATCCCAGCACTTTGGGAGGCCAAGGCAGGTGGATCACCAGAGGTCAGGAGTTAAGACCAGCCTGGCCAACATGGCGAAACCCCATCTCTACTTTAAAAATACAGAAAATTAGCCAGCCATGGTGGTAGGCACCTGTAACCCCAGCCACTTGAGAGGCTGGGGCAGGAGAATTGCTTGAACCCAAGAGACGGAGGTTGCAGTGAGCTGAGATCGCGCCACTGCACTCCACCGTAGGCAACAGAGAAAGACTCCGTCTCCAGAAAAAAAAGAAAAAAAGCCAGTGGTGACAAGAGTAGGAAAGATACATTCTATCTAGCTTTGAACAGTTGTTTATAGGAATGAAATATAGGTATTATGTTTGCATGTTTTTCATGTTATAAAGGTCCTGGGATCTTAAGATTTCACTAACAGTTTCTTCACTTCTCACTTCCTGCCATTTTACCACCTTTGTTATGGAAAATTTTGAACACTATGCCAAGGCACTTAAAATTAATATTCACAATGCTTTCAACTTCAAATTCATTTTAGAAGTGACAGCCAAAGCATCTTGAATTATTGACTTTATTCTTAAAGATCATTGTGGAATATATTTTGCAATGATCTTGTGAGGCTTTTTTACTTTTAATGGCTTATTGGTGAATTAATTTTAGGCTTTGTTACTCTTTTGTATCTCACATATTCCTCTGCTTTCTAATTTTTAGAACCTAGTTATTTCTGATTTCTTGGTCTTGTATGTATGTTTGTTTGTTTGTTTTTCCTGTGTCTAAAGAAAATCTGAAAGACCCCAAAGATAGGCTGCCTCTCATAAGTAAATAGAAGTACCAATGGAATATCATAGTTATTGCTCGTAGCTGTCAGATTTCTGCTTAAAATTCTTATTGTCCACTCTGCAGATTTATATTGCATAATCTTAGGGAACATTTTACATGCATAACCAACAAAAGTGACTGAAAAAAAACACTCTTTCTCAATTCCCACTGCAATCACTTTCACAACTGTATACTGTTGACTATTCAAAATACAAGGCTAAGAATTGGCTTCAAATTCTCCATTAGGGAAATTTACGTAACGTTGTTTTAAGGTTTCTAATTACACAGTAGTTGTACACCTGAGAGAAGTGAATATTTTACCTGCTTAAGCTCTATGAAAGTTGGATTCCAATGGAAAGATGAATACATTTCCCTCACAGACTCACCTGGACTGATTCCTGCTCACCCTATTCTTTTTTAAAGAAGACGTGATCATTGTCTTCAGGCACTATTATTTAATTTAGCTTCTATTAAGAATTAACTGTTTTGTTCCTCTTGATTCACAGAAAGAAACAGAGGTAAAGGAACGGTCTGTTTTTGACATCCCTATATTTACAGAGGAATTCTTGAACCATAGCAAAGGTGATTACTGAAGTTTCTTTTTGTGTTTCTCAGATTTTTGACAGGGGACTTACTTCTCAGAAGAAATGCATTGTTCAAAAGCAATGGTAGTGTTATCCCTCCTTAGGACTAGTCTAAAGGAAGAAGAACTGCCTCTATTTCACTCTATGGTAAAGGTAGCTGCTCAAAGACCAGTGAAGGAAAGTTAGGCCATTGTTGTCAAAGCTTCTTTGGTCTCTGGATGAAAGGAAATAAATGCAAATCACAAATTCACTTGTCTTCAGACTCTGAGCCTGGAACCCTTTGTACAAATAAAAACTTACATGGGAGTCCAAAATATAAAATAACTAAGAGCAAATCTGATCCCATTGTAGTAAAGATGGGTACCTACAGCTGTGCTTGGCCAGTCTCCCAGGATCCCCCTGCAAAACCCCTCAGGCTTCTCATTGTACAATTTTAAAAAGCAAAAACTAACAAAAAAATACTGGGAATTGAAACTGTTGCAATCTTACGTATGAAATGTGACTAACTTTAAGAATTAAAATAGCTCTGGGGAGTCAGGCGTTTCATTGCTGAAATTGCTATCTGGAATGCCATAATGAGAATAGGAAGATGAGGTGGGGTAGCTAAATTAGAGGCAGCTAAGCAGAACTTCCCTGTAAGAGTCATTGGGACTCCTCAGAGACTCCTTCTAGTGCTGCATGTGTTCTGTGGGATGTATGTCCTCAGCTCGGGAGGCAGAGCTCCGCCAGCTTCGCAAATCCAACATGGAGTTTGAGGAGAGGAATGCAGCCCTGCAAAAGCACGTGGAGAGCATGCGCACAGCAGTGGAGAAGCTGGAGGTGGATGTGATCCAGGAGCGGAGCCGCAACACAGTCTTACAGCAGCACCTGGAGACCCTGCGGCAGGTGCTGACCAGCAGCTTTGCCAGCATGCCCTTGCCTGGTAAGTCTTCCTGCCTGAGAACTGTCAGGGACAGGGGTGTGTGTGTTGTGGGGAGCAGGATGCTATTTATGTTAGTACTGGTGTGGAAAGGTTGAAATCTCCTCCAGAGGAAAATTAATTAAAATACATTTTTTCTCCTCTGGATATAAAAGAATGTCAGTATTGGCTAAAATCATCCAATGTTTCAGGCTCTCTGGTCATTCAAATTTTTGTCTATTTATATTTTAATATCTGTTTTCCTCTCTTTTAAGCTTAATTTGCTATTCAGAACACTGGAAACTGAGTAGTAAATCTTGAGGAGAGTGCTTCCTCTTATGTATGTTTGTTTGCTTTGTAGTTTCTGTTTTAACGGGAAGGAGGGGAAAATGAACACTGGTATTTCTTATATACTCTTTCATTTTGAGGATAGTCAGCAGAAAGCTGAGAGAGTCTAACCTTCTGTTACATGCAGCTACTCATATATCCAATCAGCAATTATATAGCCCATCTGTTTATTTAGAGTAAGTAGACTAATTTATTTCTTTGAGACCTAAAAGTCTCTCCTCTAAAATTAAAAGCATGTCTGTGGAGCAGACCACATTAGAATCACTATTTCTTTGAAATTGTGTTTTATGGTAAAACTGAATAGGGAGAATTTTCTTACTTTATTCTTATCTCACTTCAGGAAGTGGAGAGACACCTACAGTGGACACCATTGACTCATATATGAACAGACTGCACAGTATTATTTTAGCTAATCCCCAAGACAATGAAAACTTCATAGCTACAGTTCGAGAAGTTGTGAACAGACTTGATCGTTAGGGAATGGTGAGTGCTCACTGATAAATATTTATATGCCAGCACATCATCAAAAATAAGATGTCATCAGACTTTATCAATACTACTAAAACCATGGGATTACATTGGATGAATGAGTTGGAGACTTGGTTAAGATTCCTGTTGCGTGGTTGTTAAATGTAGTACATAATATTAGAAAACAGAGTCACTGTAGTCCCAGCTACTTGGGAGGCTTAGGTGGAAGGATTGCTTGAGCCCAGCAGTTCAAGTCCAGAGAGATCATGTCTCTAAAAATAAAATAAAACAGACTCAAGACAGTTTTTTCTCATGCTTGCTTCAGAATAGTTTAATGGGAAGAGCATGGTTTTTGTGGTTTAGCCTCAGTTCTAGCTTTGTCACTTATTAGCTGTATTCTTGGGCATCAGTTTCCCAAAAGGTTTTGAAAAGTGAGTGGGAAACTTAGAGGAAATCATCCCCAAAATAGCACTCAGAACAAAACAAATATAACTTAATTTTTAATCTTCCTTTTCTCTGGAAGATACTAATGATAATTTAGAAGTAGTCAGTGAGACATTGTATGTATGTGAGCCTACATAAGTAGGAAGCTTCTATATTCACCACTCAATAACACAGTGACTGTTGTCTGTTAAATGTTGATGTGGACTCACCATACAAACAGGTAACTCCCTGGTTTTGATAGATTAAAAAATAAATTCTTCAGCCAGGTGCAATGGCTCACACCTGTAAGCCTAGCACTTTGGGAGGTCAAGGCAGGCAGACTGCTAGAGCCCAGGAGTTCAAGACCAGTCTGGGCAACATGACAAAACCCTACATCTACAAAAACTACAAAAAATTAGCCAGGCATGGTGGCGTGAGCTTGTGGTCCCAGCTACTTGGGAGGCTGAAGTGGGAGGATCACTTGAGCCAAGGAAGTTGAGGCGAGGCTGCAGTGAGCCATTATCACACCACTGCACGCCAGCCTGGGTGATAGAGCAAGATACTGTCTCAAAATTTTTTTAAAATAAAAAATAAATAAATTCTTGGTGGGGCATAGTGGCTCATGCCTGTAGTTCTAGCACTTTGGGAGGTTGAGGCAGGATTGCCTGAGCCCAGGAGTTCAAGACCAGCTTGGACAAAATAGTGAGACCCCTGCTTTTAAAAAAATGAAAAAAATTAGCCGAGCATGATGGCACACACCTGTAGTCCTAGCTACTCAGGAGGCTGAGGCAGGAGGATCACTTAAGCCCAGGAGTTCAGGTTTCAGTAAGTTCGGGTCACACTAGTGTATTCTAGCCAGGGTGACAGAGCAAGACTCTGTCTCAAAAAACCATAAAAATATAAAATTCTCAAGCAAAAAAAAGAGGAGAGAGAAAATAAGTTTTTAAAAAATATATTCAACAAATGAGCAGTAGTATGTATTCCTTTTTTTTTTCCCCCCAGAAGGGATCTACATGTACACTTTTTGGTACTAATGGTCATTTCTTAAATGGAATTGCTATTTGTTCATTCAAATTCCTAAAGATGGGATACCCTTTTAGTATGCCATCCCACAGAATTGGCATCCCTTTGCTCTATTGGTTAAGTTATTCCATACCTGCAGACATAGAAACTGTGTGGAAATTTTAAGATTGGACTCTACAATGAGGTGGCCATATATGGATACTAAAATGAGAGTCAACAGCAGGATATGTTTCTTAGATTGGTCATGGGTTTGAATCTTTATTCATCCTGTGAGTACATGAGCACACTCATATACATAATTTATATTCTGACTCGGTTTGGACTTTGAGCAACATATGTAAAGATAAATGCCTAGTAGAGACAAAGATAAATGCCTAGTATACTTGTTGGTGATGCCCTTGGATGGTAACTGTACAAGGCAATGCATTGTATTTTAGCCTCAGCCTCTGATGGGGAAAGGATTACCATCCTTCTAGTGAGTAGCCAGATGGAATGGACTGTACTTCTTAGAGATGGCTGGACTCCCTGCAGAATAAAGAAGTGGCATTACTGCTGCTGCTTATGAAGGGAACAGCTTGTAAATCTAGGCCTGGGATTTTCAGGAGCTCATCATCCTTCCCATTTTCGTACAGTGTTTTCAATTAGCACTCTTGTATGCTTGAAAAGTGAGAGCTGGGAGAAACAGTGTGGAAGATTGTGAAAGAAAACATTAATTGATAACATGGTGTCTCTTCACATAGATATAGGGCAGCTAATTAAGTATTGACCCAAAAGTGGTTTTCCATTTTGAGCACTTTGCCAGTAAGACTCTCCTAAAGCTTTGTTCATCTCAAGAATATAAACTATATTATTTGTTTTCTGAGGAGTCTGTAAACTTAAAATATTACTATTATCCTTGATTTTAACCTACAAATATTTTGCCCCTGAAAAAATAACTAAAAGTGTGAACTATTATATTACTACAGATTCTTACAATCTAGCCATGCAAACATAACTAACAATAGATGGTTTCCCACACCCCCCAAAACTGTCAAAGGAAATAATTACAAAGACTGTGATTAATACTGGTTTGGCCTAATCATACAAATATGTACAGACAGCGAGGCTGATGTCCCCAGCACTCATGGTGCAATTAATTACTCTGACAAGAGTTTGGCAAAGGTTTCATCCACTGTCAGGAGCCAGTGAGTGAAGGGAAGCTAATGGTCTACAAAGTTTCAGAGGAGCATATTAGAGTTGGAAGGGCCCTTTAGAAATCCAACATTTTATATATGAAGAAACTGAATCCCAGAGAGGAGAAACATCTTGCTTGAAAATATCTGCATCGATGAGTACAGAATCCAAGACTAGAACCACAGATATCTAAACTCGCATTCACTGGGTTTCTAAAACATTGCTCTAAGGAAGAGGTGGATGGGGGAAGGGGAAAGCACTAAAAAGTCCTGAAATAGAGCATTAAGATACATAGGAAGTAAATAGAAAAAAATTACAATCCAGGAATTATAATGTTACAGAGTTTTAGCCCATTTTAAAATTATTTTGATAAATATACAGTGGAAGAATTACCCTACCTGTCACCTTTCTTGTGACTGAGTAGTACCTAGAGACAAGTGGAACTGGGAGGAAGCCATGGGGGTGATTTTAAGTTGAAAGGTGACTACCTTATATAAACTACTAAAATGCATATGTTGCCTGATTTCAATGATAATATTTGGCTGTTTGAGTTTAGGGGAAGAAAATCTTATGTGACTGTATTTTTTTTAATATGAGAAATGTTCTTGATTATATGCACATAATACATCTCTATACATGCAGATATCCTTAGTTAACACTTGAAGAAAATTGGTTTTGATTGACCATACATTCTTCAGACTAAAGTAGGTTACTCATTTTCCCTCCTCAGGTTTGTCCCTGATAGTTGCTTTTCTGTGTTTAGCTGATGATTTTCCTACCTCCCATTGTTGCTGAACTGGAGCAGTGTTACGTTTCTCATTGAAATGTTATGTAAAACATCTCAATGAGGTTGCCTGCTTGCAGCTTTTTGAGTTCTTTAGTTTACATATACCCTGCACTCACTGTAACGCTTATGAAACCAAAGCATTTTTAAAATCCATAGTGCTAACCCCTTCCAATCAATACTTACTTTCTTGGTGTTATTTTCCTTGTTTGTTTTTGTTTTTGTTCTGGTTTTTTTTGTTTTGTTTTGTTTTCTCCTGATTCCACAGGTCTTAGAGCTCCAAGATGTTCCATAAGTGTTTTTACTTGTAAGGAATGAGAAGCCATCCATGGAAATTTGAACTGAGTGGGGGTGGAAAAAGAGTGCAGATCCCTTTGCTTGTGAAAGAATTTTCAGTGAGTGAAAGGCCGTCACCCCAGGAAGCCATATGAAGGAGCAGCAACATGTATATGAGCTTCCTATGGAATTGTCCTTCTGTGAAACTTTGAAGGTATGCAGCCACTCTCCCAGGTCTTCAGGTTCCTACCATTTCCATTTCTGTTAAAGTGGAGCTGCATATCTTCAGCTTACTGGGTGACCCTGATGCTGACATCTGCTGCTGCAGAAAGGAAGACTTCTCATGTTGTAATTTCACTTAGACCCTTTTATCAGTGGAGCTCCAGTTTTCTTACCTACTTGTCACTTTTTTAAATGCCTCTGGGGGTTATTTTTGCTTTTCTTGGCCCCCACCAATTTATACATCTCCATTTTCTGACCTCTGAACTTTGTTGCTCAGCAAGGTTCTGAAGGAGAGTTTCTTGCATTAGACAGCCCCAATCTTCTCCCATCATTGCCCTACTGTGACTCCAAAGAAAGGAGCTTCTTGTTGATAGTGCCATGTGGAGCAAGGCTATGTTTCCTACCCCACATGGTGCTCAGTGGGTACCAGTCTTAGTGTGGCTTTGTGATTGCTGCCCTAAAGGAGAATGCTTTGTGATTGCTGCCCTAAAGGAGAATGCTCTTTCCTTCCTCACTGGTACTGCCTACTGTTTTCTAAGCATTGCTCCTGCACAGACATGGAGTCCCAGCCCCAGCAAGGCTCTTCTGTTCCCATCCATTGACAATGTCTTGTGGAGCATTTTTGCTGAGGAAAAGGTCACTTGTAAACAGAGGAGAAAGGGAAAGTACAAAGGGCCAAAGTTTATTGTAAGTGAAAACTGAGGGAATTCCTGTCTTCTTTAGGAGTAATGATTCATGGATCTAAATAGGTGGAAATATCGTTCAGAATAGTCACTTGAGCTCACAAAAAAAGCAAGGAAGAATTCTCATGTCCTTTGTCTTCCTTCTGTAGCGATTAACTGCTGATCCATGTGAAGAAGACAGGCTTCCCTTCCTTCTCCCTCCTTAGTGATTTTTTTTGTTTAACAGCATAAGTAAAGAGGACTTTCTGGTTCATTTTTGTTTGTTTGTTTTGTTTTGTTTAGAGATGAGGTCTCGCTGTGTTGCCCAGGCTGGAGTGCAGTGGCTATTCACAGATGCTATCATAACACGCTACAGCCTCCAACTCTTGGGCTCAAGCATCACGCCTAGCAGTTTCTGGTTCCTTTAACAGCAAAAGGAAAGAGAGGTTCTGATTCTTACCTCAGGGTTTTTTGGTTGTTTCTTTGTTTTTGTTTTTGTTTTGACACTCTAGCACAAGGCTAAAGGTTACAGCTGAGATCTTTGGAACCAAAGCAGAGCAAGCAGAGCCCATTGTCTGGGCACCACACCACTGCAGGCAGGTGGATAGAAGTGTGACCCCTCTCACAGTATGCCCGTAAGTCAGAGTGTAGGGCAGAACTCCCTGTCAAGTTGCTACACCATCGTGTCTTCTCAGCATCTCCTTGCCTGTTTTCTTTATTAGTCCAAAGGAAAACAGCAACAAAATCTGTTTTTAAAATGTCTTATGTGAACATACATCAGATATCCATGTGCTAAAACCCACATACCATCACTTGGCAAATTTTTAGAATAAGACCCCATTATTATCTATTGCTATAAACCTAGCCAGCTCTCTTGCTCTGCTGTATTTTCCTATTTCCCTGCCATCATCTGTATTTCTGCCGCTTCTCTTAGACTCCTTGTCTGCAAAGTCCAAGCCAGAATTCACTGTCTATGGCAGAAGGACATCCAGAGCCCATTCTGGAGGTTGGTTTCTTCCTTCTGCCAGATGCTTTCTGTCCTCTTCCTTCCTCCTCATATTTCTGTTACTCATTTGTGTTCAGTTTTGTGCAGCATTGTTAGCACTGCTTTTGTGACCAGAAAAGGCCATAACGTGGTCCAGGATCATCATTCTCCAGACTCTAGATGGGACACTTGACAGTGACTGGAAACATTTGCATATTCAGGAATACATGAGATCTCAAGAGAGCCTACAGTATGAAATCATTTTCAGAAAATAAGCAGCTTGCTTTTGAAATGCTCTCTTTCCCAGTAGCTACTCACCTGCCTCTGGTGGCTGGGATTCAGATGCCACAAAACTGTCAGTATCTGTAGAGCAGGCCTTTGCCACCTCCTCTCTCCTCTGTGCTCAATGAGGAGGCAGTAAATGAAGTTACAGGCTAGCACAATACCTAATTCATATTGCCCAGTACACCTGTAGATATTACTGTACTTTATGTTCTCAAGAAATAAGCTGTTGCCTGTTCAGTGTTACAGATTTCTTTGTTTCTTTTTAATTAAAACAGAAGGAGCAGCTGAGGAAAGGGAGACAAGGTATTTTATTTCTGACTAATTTTAGAAAAAACTTGTGTACATGTGTCTGGAACTGTTGAAATGCCAAGTTTTCTGTATAAGTGTTTTTGTAATTAAACTTTCAGATTTTCTTTGTTTTTTAAGAAGTTGATATGCTTGTTTGACATTTGTCTCATTAAAACTTTTCTATGTTGAATTCACCTGTTTCAATTTTACTTGCTTTGTAATAAGTCCTACCTCTGGCCGGGCATGGTGGCTCATGCCTGTAATCCCAACACTTTGGAAGGCCGAGGTGGGCAGATCACGAGGTTAAGAGATTGAGACCATCCTGGCCAACCTGGTGAAACCCTGACTCTACTAAAAATACAAAAATTAGCTGGGCATGGTGGTACATGCCTGTAGTCCCAGCTACTCGGGAGGCTTAGGCAGGAGAATCGCTTGAACTTGGGAGGCGGAGGTTGCAGTGAGCCGAGATCGCACCACTGCACTCCAGCCTGGCAATAGAGCGAGACTCCGTCTCAAAAAAATAAAAAATTTTAAAAGAAGGCCTACTTCTGTTTTTTCCTCTTAAAGACTTTGTCAACTCTACATTAATCATCATGTCTGTTATGCTTTTAAAACAGTAACACATTCATTTTACTAATTGCTACTTCAAAATGTGTCTTTACCTGTTTGAGAAGTCAGCTCTTTTAGTGTATGCTGTAACAATACAGTGAATTCTAATTCATTTTAATATAGCAGTAGTATTCTGGAGACAACTTAAAAGGATGTTTTTAAAGTCAGTGACTCTGATGTCCCCTTGATAGAAGATCATTTGATAGAAGAAAGGAGATGTGCTTAAATGCTTGCTTTTTTTTTTTTTTTTTTTGAGTTGGAGTTTTGCTCTTGTTGCCTAGCCTGGAGTGCAGTGGCATGATATCAGCTCACTACAAACTCTGCCTTCTGGTTTCAAGCGATGCTCCTGCCTCAGCCTCCCAAGTAGCTGGGATGACAGGTGCACGCTGCCATGCTCAGCTAATTTTTGTATTTTCAGTAGAGACGGGATTTTGCCATGTTGGGCAGGCTGGTCTCGAACTCCTGACCTTGTTATCCGCTGGCCTCGGCCTCCCAAAGTGCTGGGATTACAGGCATGAGCCACCACACCCAGCCAAATGCTTGCTTTTTAAAAATAACCAATCAAAATCTCTTTTTTTTTTTTTGAGACAGAGTCTCACTCTGTCGCCCAGGCTGGAGTGCAGTGGCGCGATCTCGGCTCACTGCAAGCTCCGCCTCCTGGGTTCACACCATTCTCCTGCCTCAGCCTCCCGAGCAGCTGGGATTACAGGCGCCCACCACACGCCCAGCTAATTTTTTGTATTTTTAGTAGAGACGGGGTTTCACCGTGTTAGCCAAGATGGTCTCGATCTCCTGACCTCGTGATCTGCCCACCTCGGCCTCCCAAAGTTCTGGGATTACGGGCGTGAGCCACCGCGCCCGGCCCAAAATCTTTTTAAAGGAAATTTGTCACCTATTTCTACTATGCTTTTAAAAATCCTAGGGGTGAGGCACCCTGGCTTCCAGAGCCTGCTGCTTTCCAAGTAGCCAGTTGTGTGACATTGGGCAAGTCTTGATTTGTTTCAACTCCAGTTTCCTCTTCTGACATAACACATGCCTCAGCTCTCCTTTACTGTCGTAAGAAGGATAGAGTAAGGTACAGAATCCACCTTGCTTTGGAGGATAGGAAGATAGGAAGTATCTGTTACATGATTGCCAGTAACTATCAGGGTATCTCAGTTAGCATTGAGTTTGACTCTATATTAAGCAGAACTAGCAACAGCTTAAATAGTTTTCTCATAGAAAACTATGCCAAAGTTGGGCAGTTAAAGGCTAGTATGGAGGCTCCTGCCTGTACCACAACATGATCCTTCTCAAGGTCACCCCATGGTCCAAAATAGCCACTTGACCATCAGCTGTCACTTTGAAATTCCTGGCAGCATGAGGAAAAGAGGGCAAGGACAAAATGAGCAAACCTAGCTGAGTCAGGGCCCTCTAAAGAGTCTTCCTGGAAATCGTATTCAACACTTTCACTTGATTTGGCCAGAACTCAATCATGTGACTACAGCTAGCTATAAAGGAGGCCAAGAAATGTCATTCTTGCATGGACGTTACTGTGCCCAACAATATACAGGTTTTAGTAAGGAAGAAGGAGAAAATGAATATAGAGTAGGTGACTAACATTAATTTCATAACTATGTGTGACTTCATTTATGCACTCAGCCCAACCCCGCCATGCTAGTGAATGGAGTGCATTATCTTGCCTTTGCCTCTTGGCCATTTGAGAATGACCATGTACTTCCTTGATACCTTTTTTCCCCCGGAGAGCCAGAAAGCCAAAAACTAGCTTCCATCTGAGTTGGCATTTCCTATTCCCATCTAGCTCTTCCCCTACCCTGCAACAGCTGGTGGCCAGTCTTGTTTAGTAAAAATCCAAATAAACAGGTAGTAATACTTCCCCTAGTTGTTTGTTCTCTTTCTCTAACTGCTCAGCATCTGCTGAATTGAAACAACATCAGGGCAAGCTTTCCCTAAGGGTGGGGAAATTGAAGTATTGCTTAGCAGAAAAGCACATAGCTACTTCCTGCCCTCTGAAAGAATTTCCTGCCTTGCAACTGAGAGTTCCAAGTCAGGGGTTTTTTCTTTGTTTGATATATAGCCTGCACTCAGATATATACTTCAATATCTATGGATATAAGCAGTAGTTTATATGCCAGCCTATTAAAGAACTCAAGATTCAGAATCAGACTAGGTGAAATTGTTAATGTATATCTGCTCATCCAGAAACCATTTCAGTTTAGTTTTCATAGGACTGTGTGTCTACTGGGGTAAACTTTTGCCAGAGGTAGAAATGTACATTCTCTTAGCTTAGTGAAATGCAAAAGGAGGAGCCACAAGGAGATAGGAATGGCATTGGAAAATTAAATGCATGGCCAATGCAGATTTTCCAGATAGAAGGATTTTTGTAAACCACCTGCAACACCAGATCCGTGGGAGGATGTCTTACATGTTTATGTGGGAATATGTAAGATTCAGTGTAAGAGATTCTCTTATTTGAATCTCTCTCACACACACACACACCATCCAACACTTAAAGAGCCAGAGTTTTTTATACCAACTTCTCTTCGTTTAACTTTAATTCACCCTTTAATTTGGGCCTACAAAGACGTTTATAAAACATGGTTTCT